CGGATCACAAACAGTTCGTTGAACGTTCAGTTCGTTTACAGCCCTATCTTGACTTCCTTTAAATAGGGCGCCAAAACACAGAATTTGGTTAAACTCGTCTTTACGTCGTGACCCCCATGTGTCACGTCGTGACCACCAAGAACGGACACGCATTTCTGCATTGATGGTCACGTCGTGACCAACTATTTTTGAGGGTTTTTCATCTTAATTAAATCAAAACATAAAAAGATCGAATACCTGCATTAAGTGTTACAAATGGTAGTTCTATTGCTCAACTTTATTATGTAAGTGTCATTAGTTGCCTAATTTACTCTAACAAATATACTAGACCATACACTGAGTTTATTGTTAATAAACTTCCAAGGTTTATCAATATTCCAAATAAACATAATTGGAAAACTATTGGTCAAGTTCTTGGATATTTAAAAAGAACCAAAATTCCCGGTTTGTATTATGGGGGTTTTTAGAAGTACTTGAGAGATATCTAGATACTAATTGGATTACCGGTGGAAATGAGAATAAATCCACAAATGGTTGGATTTTCACCATTAGTGGGGTGCTATTTCTTAGGCTTCAAAGAAACAATTCTGGTATTAGGGGCTGTTTGGTAGCCTCTTAATTGAAAATTTAAGAGGCAATGTCTGAATTTTTAAGATATAGAGTGTTTGGTAGGGTATGAAAAAAAAGCCTCTTAATTCTCTAGATGCCTCTTAAAGTTTCAGATGTAAAATTACATCTGAATTTAAAAAAGGACGCGCTTGCCCTTCGCCCTATTATTATTTCAGCCGCTTTTTTCCCCTTTCTACTCCATCGTCCTTTCTCCTACCTCTTGATCTGCAACAAAAGATTTTGATCTGCAAAAATCGCCTGGCGTTCTCCCCTCCACCATTGACGAAGCCGCTACTGGCTTCAACCCCGCCGCCATCGACTCCGACTGTTGCAGGTAAGGTTTTCTTTTATTATTTCCCTGAAAAACCATTCTCAGCACATACATCGATTTCTTCTTCTTTCTTTTTTGATTTGAATACGGTGGCCACATATATCTTCTTCTTCTTCTTTTTTTTTTTTTTTGCAATGAAAAACAACTCTCAGAAGATATATCAACTTTTTCTTCTTATTTGCACTGTATTTGATTATCATTATTGCTGGTGGTGTTTGTTTATTTCCGATGATGCACACTGCCATTCTATACAAATGGGTGTTTGAATTTACAAGAAGTAGGGTTGTGTTCATGTACACATTTAAAGTCGTTCAAGGGTCTAGAGGTTTGTGCAAACACTTTTGGTGCTGCAAGTATCTGGAGGTGGAGGTATATGAGGATGGTTGACCAATTGAACCAGATTGTTATAGATATGAGCATGAATTCCAACAAAGACAATAGTTAGACCTCTTTCTGAGAAAAATGGAAATAGAGGTGGTTGGCTATCATCTGTTCAATCTAATACCAAGAAAACTAATGAGTTAACAACCTATATTGGGTAAAACATTAATCAAACTTCCATTGATGGCGTTGATGAATCGACTGAAACAAAATCTTTATTATTGAATTCTGGATTATTTTGAAGGACCTGGTGGTGGAATTTTTTGTTTCTGCTTGTGATTCTTTTCTATCATTTGTATTATTTTGTTGTAAATATGACATGTCCTGCTAAAATCTGTTGTAAAATCTATTGTTATATGATGTTCCGGAAGGAAATTGTTTATATGGGTAAAAGGCTAAAAGCTTCATTTTGATTTGAATTTGTGTTATAATTTTGACTTATGTTTAATTTTTGGATTTTGTATGGCGTCCGGGGAGAACATTGGTCAAGCACAAGGGGGGAGAAGATGATGGCCAAAACGTACACGATATAGAAGGGGGTTCACAAGGCAACGAATACATGACTAATTTGCGTGTCCAGATTGCAAATCAATTGGGGTCAAATTAAATTTGTAGGATTTTATTCTGATTTTAGTATGATTTTGTGGATTTAAAAATATTTAAGTTTTATTTGGATTTGTGTTTAATTTTGATTTATGCTAAATTTGGATTTTATTTGGTGTTTATATTTTTTTTCTTATAATTATTTAATAAATTGATTAGGTTATTTTATAAACAGACACTTGAATTCAATAAAAAATAAAACAAAATGGTAAAATGGTCATTTTTATAATTCAGCACAACAATTCAGATGTCCCAACCAAACAACATGTTAAACATTCAGCTCTTAAAATTTCAGATCCTCTTAGAAATTCAGACATTTTAAAAATTCAGATCTTAAAAATTCAGATTCTGCCAAACAGCCCCTTAATTGTAGATTAGGAAGCATACTAGCTTAGAAATATGTTATTGGATATAGAGCGTTGGCCACAACCAATGTTAGCCATTTCCTCCAATGTTAGCCATTTCCTCCAATGTTAGCCATTTCCTCAAGCTAGAATAGTGAAGCAACTTTGTCCATGACATATAATAATATTTATAATGGTAAATCGAATATATATATATATATATATATATATATATATATTATATATATTAGACATGTCTATGTGCAACAATTAATTTTTGATGAAATTATAATTGTTGTTTATGTGCGCTCTTGTAGAAGTTTAGCAGATCTATTTACCAAAATTCTTGAAAGAGACATGATATTTGGAACTATAAGAGATATGGATTTAAAACCCATTTAATAGAAGTTAGTTGTAATAGAAACCTAGACTTTACTAGCATCCGATTCTATTTTTTGGTTCATTTTGGTAAAATCAAGTTCTTGATCATTAGTTTATTAACTTATGATTACTTCTTTAGGGTGAGTTATATACTCTTAATGAATTACTCATTTGGTCATTTAGGGAGCTTCACCTATGTAGACACAAGGAGTGGTGCCCTTTTAGCACATGCATTAACTTATTTGCTTTTGTAGGTTATTTGAATATGAGATGAACGCATGGCCATAAAAGTGCTTCCTTATTCATGAACATAAACGGACTGGTCACGTGTGTTATCTCTCTTCAAACTCATGGAATCATGGTTCAAATGTTTTAAGCCACCACTGATTCTGTTGGATTATTTAAGAGGTAAGCGCTAAGTTAAGGTTCAAAGTGAAAGCTACCCTAATCTAAGCATTATTAGTTGGATGCTGGTGATAAATCCTAAGTGGGGGATTGTTAGAGTAAATATAGTATTTATCACATTTTTAGGTAAAATATTTGTTAATTTGCTTTAATAACAAATCCTACATAGGCAGGTGAAGAAACCTTTAGTGAATTTCTTAAAGCTCCACTCAAATATTTGAATTGTGACTATGAGGGACTAAAGGGGATAGGTGGGGGGGGGGGGGGGGGTTGTTCGTCTAAATTATATATTTGATGGACTAAATCCCTATCCCTATACTAATAAAAGAATAGTTTTAATTTCTTTTTGTCATGTGTCACTCTAATACAACTTCATATTAATATTATGCTATACGTCAAGGAGATATATTAGGCAAATCACTATCACAATATGAGGTTAAGATTTTAAATAATAGATTTTAAACTTTTTATAAAAACATTTATTTTTTAATTATATGTTAAATTTGAAGTTATAACTAACTTTAAAATTTTGGTATATCTTTTAATTAATAATTTATTTAAAATTATTTATTTAATAGAATTGATTAATAATTATGAATTTTTGCTATGAAAATTGAATTAATTTTATAACCGTTTTTCAGTGTTGTAAAAATCCCGACTAGGTCCCGATTAATCTCTGATTAATCCCTAGGCGTTACCCGACCGATTAGAGGGCGCCTAGCGATTAATCCCTAAATACACAATGAGTGAAGCAGTAGAACCCGATGAAATTTTAACACTTTGAAGAAGTTATATCTCAATATAAACTATTTAAGATATGATTAGTCTTTTATTAAAATAGATATTAGTGGTATTTATGAACTTTTATATGATATTAGTCATATTTAATTTTTTAAAATTTAACAAATTAGCAATTAATGGTCTCCGATTAATCCCCCGATTAATCTCCGCCTAGCCGATTAATCCCTTAACCCTAGTCCACCGATTAGCCAACGTCAAACGATTTTTACAACCTTGCCGTTTTTATACACTAGTAAATACCGTATAATAAAAAACTAGCACTTAGAACTTTTACATCTTGGAGCATCTTCCACCTTTTGCACTTGCAATTAAAAATTCCTTACATTTTGGTCCAAAAACTTAATGGCCGGTTAACTTTTTGTAAGTATTGGTTGTAGTTTTGTCACTTAATTTTTGGAGGGAAAAAATTTGTAAAACTATTTTTGAGAACCAGTGCAACCCTTCACAAAATGGTGTAACTACCAAAATTTTCGACTATAAATACAGGTGTTTTATCATCGTTTTTTGGTAAATCGCATTATTCACATCTTCATGATTATATCATTGTGTTTATGAGAGAGGACTATATATACAAGTGTTTTATCATCGTTTTTGGTAAATCGCATTTTTCATATCTTCATGATTATTATCATTGTGTTTATGAGAGAGGACTATAAATACAAGTGTTTTATCATCGTTCTTTTGGTAAATCGCATTTTTCATATCTTCATGATTATTATGAGAGGACTGTATGATTGTTGCATACATCTTCTTAACTCGAAGAGGTTTTTGGAGATCTTAATCATTTTACCCAATAAGGACAATAGTAACGACTAATTAAATATAATGGTTTTGCCAATTCCTCCTCTTACTGCTTTTCATAATTCCTTTTCTATTTTACATACTATTTCTAACATATGTATCATCAAAATCTGAAATCCTCATTTCAGAATTTATAATCATTTCAGAAAATATATAAAAGTTGGATAATTTACTAATTTTCATTTTGTATTTACTTAATAACAAAAGAATCTAAACTGACTAATTTGTCCTTCCACTTCTTTCAAAGGAATACAAAAGGATCTCTAGGAAGCACACTAATTACAATTTCACCCTTCCTAGAAACTTTAACAAAAAAAAAAAAAAAAAAAAAAAAAAAAAAAAAACTATGGAGGGAATTAGCATGTCCAAATTTGTCATTCGTCATCTAGCTAATTCAGAGTGCAAAGATGAGTTCAACTCCACTTGTTCAGCTTCCCATCTCGCCTTTGCCACTACACCATCATGCATCGGGACGTAATCCTGTAATAAAAAACACACACCACATCCTTCAATGCATTAGTCACTTGTACCGTACAATCATTATAGTTTATCTATAAAGGTAACACTGTCAGAGCTATAATCAAGTTGAGTTCTGTATCAATTAGTTCGTACGTAATTTCACTTTGGAATTTCTAGATTTTGAGTAAAAAAATGATATCGAAGTATATAAAGAGTGGCTTTAGTGTTTATAAAAACTCAATACATGACTCTTTTTTTATATATTATTTATAAATTTTATGCTCCAAAACACTACAAAGAAAATGTTTGTTTACATACCTCAAGTTTTTGTACTAATTCTTTTGCATTTGGAGCAGAGACAATGATGTGGCGCTGAGCTGGCATGATGAAACCATCATCGACTGCTTTGTCGATGAATGTAAGTAGCGAGTTATAGTAACCATCCACGTTTAACAAGCCCACCTATTAAGATGTTCAAGTATATATGTATTAAGTCATTAATTACTTGTATTGTATAACCAAATAATGAAAACAGTTTCTTTTTTGCCTTCTACTTCGATATACAAATTAAAATTAAATGAAAAAAAAAAATATTTAAAAAAAAAAGAAGAAGAAGGAAATCTTTTTTTTTTCCATATGTGGTTTGGTTACTTACGGGCTTGTCATGAATTCCAAGTTGGGCCCACGTAATAACCTCTAATAATTCCTCCAATGTTCCATATCCACCTACAAATATTTATTAAAAAAAAAATTAGAAATCCTTATCTATTTAAAAATTAAAAACCTTTGTGAACATATTTATAAATTATATAAAAATTGGAATAACATAGATTAAAAGATTTTCGATCTAACGATATAAAATGTTCTAGTTCTAGAAAGGATAAATTTGACGAGATCCAAAACAATAATACATAATAAAAAAAATAAGATTGTCGTTATCTTAATAATAGTTTTTATAGTATATTTAATGTACAAGTTATTTATAAACTCTAATAAATATGCAAAATAGTTTGTTAGGTCAACGAGTTTCGATTTGTCCTAAAGACAAATCAAAATACGTCAATTTGAGTTGGAATTTTATTTTTAATGTATCAATTAAGAGGTAATATCTGAAATCATATATGGTTTAAATTATTATTTTGCTAAAATGGTCGAAAATCATCAAATTTTAAAATGCTTACAGATATTCTAAAACTTTTTATTTAGAATTTTAAATTATCATTTTGATTAGTAAATTATAAGTATATTTAAATTTAATATATATTAATCAACACCTTTGTTGCTTTACTTATAAATTATAAGGTATATAATTAGTTGTGTTTTAGTCATAATTTATAAACATCGTGGGTAGAGATGGAACCTGGTAAGGCAATAAAACAATCAGAATGACGAGCCATCTCAGCTTTTCTTTGATGCATATTAGATACGACTCTTAATTCTCCTATTGTTTCACCTGTTATCTGCATATACATATTAATAAAGAATAAATAATATATTTAAAAAATAATAATAATATACATTTTTAAAGAAAATACTAGTTCATTACCTCCTTGCACATGAGAGTCTTGGGAATAATCCTGAAAATATAAAGAATAATTATTTTCAACGAAAAAAAAAAGATTGAAGCTTTGAAAGCTTTGAAGGGCTAATTAAAAGGTAATTAGTCACTATATGTATTACCCTAAAACATGGCCACCACCACGGTGAACCTCCTGTGAGACCAATCCCATTAACCCTACACTCCCTCCACCATAAACAAGATCCACTTTCCTTTTCACCTTCATAAAGAACAACAAATATTAATTAACATTAATACATACATATACATATATACATGCATACATACATACATACATATAGATGATGGAGGGTAAAACTGGAATTTTAAAAAGATGAAAGGCAAGTTGGTATTACAATCCCATTAACCCGGCACTCCCCCACCATAAACAAAGATTTTGTTTTCTTTTTATAAACAAAACCATAATAACATACATTTACATATACATATAGACATGTATATATATGGAGGAGGGTAAAACTGGAATTTTGAAAAGATGAAGGGTAGGTTGGTCAAGTACCAGTTCTTGGCCTAAATCAAGAGCAGCATCTCTGTAACAATCTCTTTTACCAGCACTACTACCACAGAAAACACATACACTTTTGAATCTTGATCTTATGTCCTCCATCTTCTTCTTCTTCTTCTTCTTCTTCTTCTTCTTCTTCTTCTTCTTCTTCTTCTTCTTCTTCTTCTTCTAGTTGTTTTTCCAATATTTTGGGGTACTTCTTTTTTTGCTTTGAATATGAATGTGGAAAGTGTTTGGAATAATAAAGGAATAATGGAAGGTGGGTTGGTTTATATAAAGGATGAAGAACCAAATAATGATATAATTGGGATGACTTCTTGAATTATGTTGGGCCACGTAGGTCAGAGGCAAAATGGTAATTTACAGAGAGAAAATGTCACAAGTTATCTTATTTATTTTATAATTCCATGGTGTATATTATGCCGAATACCTTTTTTTTACATGAATAAGAGAAACTTTAGGTTTTAGATTAGTGAATATGATATTTACAGAGTTGATAATACCAGTGAAAACCGATTTTTTGCTTATCTCCAAACAAACATAGTTTAACCAAACTTAGATTATCGGATTAGTTTTTGGAATTTTTTTTACTATTCAGCAATATATATATACATAGCACTTATCTATTTCAGTATCATTAACTATTTGTTATAACGGTAATAGATAAGACCATATAACTATATAATTTTCAAACAACAATATTTTAAAGCATATAAAAACAAAACTATCGTTGTTTATATGGCAAGATTGAGGCGTGTGTATGTTAGTGTGTGTGCGAAAAAACAAAGATTACATACATCCTATTGAGTATTGAGGGTGAAGCTTAAATATGTAACATTAATTTAAAATAGACCCGATTAGTATAATGACAACTATAACATTCGACAATCTTATATAAATAGGATAAGAGGGAGATGGTCAGCAGCCCCTACAGTAAGATTAATTGGGAGACTACTTCCATATATAATTTTTTGTAACTACGTCCACACTTCCCTGCATAAGATTTTTGCATACGAAACGTTAACCAGCGAAAAATAATAAAGTAATGTATGTCTGAATAGAGGCTAATAAACGAATAAATATCCATGAGTGGAGGGGAAACAAAAATAATTAGTTTAAAAATGGCCAAAAAGCACAAACAAAAAACAAAGGTAGGCACTAGATACTTAATACTACTCTGCTACACTGATTCGAAGTCTCCACACATTGGTATCTCATATCTGAGATCATGTCCTCTGTAAGTATTAACTCTTTCAAGTCTAACCGCACGCTATCTTCTCACTTATTACTCGACCGACCATTCATCTTATTACACTCGACAGTAATCGACTCCACTCTCCTAACATAAGTTGTCTGTTGTCTCCTATGAACATGTCTAAACCAATAAAGTCTTCCTTCTTAATTTGTGGATGAACACCCTCGTACCCAATGAATTCCTAATTCACGTGCTCGATATCATATCCAACAAATGTCTTACCATATGTCCACTGCAACATTTTCATTTCTACAAACTTCATCTTACTCTCATGTTCCTTCTTAATCGGACAACATTCAGACCCATACAACAAAGTTGACCTTATAGCTACCTCATACAATTTTTTCTTTAGTTTCAGTGGCACCTTCTTGTCACACAATACTCTTGGCACTTCCCTCCACTTTAACCATCTCACCTTTATGTGTTGTGTAACGTCATCCTCAACACACCCTTCTTTATGGATCATAGAGCCCATGCACTTACAACTCCCTTTTTTGGGTGCAAAACATGCTTATCAATGCATAAATCAATTCCTTCATTGTTTTGCTCCCTACTGAAATTGCTCTATGGATATTCTATTTCTATCTTATCAGTGATGATATATAGCCCTTTTCCTTCTAAGGATGCCTTTAAGATATCCAACCTAATATTCAACTTTGTCCTAGACTAAGCTACAAGAACTATGTTTTCGGACTATAGCATACACAATGACACTTATTCTTAGGTTCATAATAGATTTCATCCATAATTTAAGTGAAGATGTACGAACTAAGAGTTGATCCCTATTGGAGTCTTATTTCTACTAGGAAAGCCTCGATGTCACCAATTACAGTTCGAATACATGTTGTATACCAACAATACATATCACGTATAGCCCAAACATAACTCCTAGAAACCCTGTTAGCTTCCAAAGTATTCCATATTGTCTCACGTGGGGCGCTATCACATGCCTTCTCTAGGATGATGAACACCATATAGAGATCCCATGTTTCTTTCTCGATATTTCACCATTAGATGTTTGAGCAAATGGATCACCTCAGTAGTAGACCTCTCATGCATGAAATCAAATTAATTTTACGATAAAATAATTTATTGTATTAACTTAGCCTTTAACACCATATCCCATAACTTCATGTAAGAAGCTTAATACTTTTATAGTTTCCATAAATTTGTGTGTCTCCTTTGTTCTTATAGATTGGTATCACAATACTAGATCTCTACTCCTCTGGCTTCTTGCATGACTTATGTTAAGGAGGTTTGTTAACCACTATACTCTCACCTCACCTAAGAACAACTGCATTGAAATATGGATTTGGTTAGAACCAACAACTTCGTCTCTTTCATTTCCATAATGCCATATTTACTCTCTCTCTCTCTCTCTCTCTCTCTCTCTCTCTCTCTCTCTCTCTCTCTCTCTCTCTCTCTCTCTCTCTCCATGTGGGAGAAAATATAGGTTGTCTGACGCTTCCCCAAGCGATCCTATCCCTAACCAACAAAGTAAACTTGTTAAATAAAGGATCAAAGTAACTACCACATGTCCTCTTAATACGAAACACCCCTTGTACGAGCTAGTAGAAATTAGGATATCCTTTAAAAAATTATTTTAAAACATTAAACTATTTTGAAATATCAGTTCAGAAATTGGTCCAAAAAAATTTAAATCATAGGATTTAGTTAATCTTATTCAATATCATTACAAAACGGTAAGATGAACCATACAAACATGTCTTCTAAATATCCAAGCTTACTATCCTAAACTTCATTTTCACTTACGAGTACATGTTAAACTATGAAATGGAATTCATAATGGTGATTCTCAATCCATAATTATAAATTCCAAAAATATTTTGTAAACCTATGTAAAACCATTTCTTTGTATCTCAAACCATTTCCAAAATATTTCTTTGTATCTCTAACTAGGTTCTATTTTATTTGCAGTAGTAGTTCATCTCTAGCATATAACTTATCATGATGGTCCTTTTAAATGTTAGTTAAGTTAAAGCTTGATCAACACTAGGTTTTATCGACATTACCAATTTAGCCATTGTTTTATATTTAACCTAAATAATTATTATTTTATTTTTAACTAAACTAAATAATTAATTAACATATATTCAAAAACATAATTTTAAGATTTTAACTTGGTATGTTTTATTTTGATTATATTACTTATTTATTTATTTATTTTATAAAATTTTATTTTCCACTAAAGTGGACAAAGTTCCAGACTTTAAAAGAGGATGTTACAATTATACGTCCCTTAAAATGATTTCATCTCCGGAATCACAATGACAGAAAAAAGGTTGTAATAATATTTTACAACATATATTTCTTTCACATATATTTCTTCCAGGCATTCATATTGTCTTGGTTATACAAAATCTCTTTAGAATATTTTATTTTTACTCTAGGTAGTAAAATAAGTTTGTTTCCTGCTTGCTTTCCTTGTAAAATCAAATCTTTTCTTTGTATATATAATTTTACTAAGTTTATATTTCATTCGTTTAATTAGTTGATGAGCACCATCCCTTAAGTTTTATTTGTAAAGTATTTTTTTAAATGGATGTGAATTCATTTATTAAGACTCTACCTTTAACTATTGTTATCCTATTCATATATTTATTCCCTTTAATATATATATATATATATATATATATATATATATATATATATATATATATATATATATATATATAAAGAGATGGAGGTTCAAATGTGGATTGACATTTATTGTGCGGACGTGTGAGCAGTGCTATTCTGTGCGAATGACAAAGAAAATATGTTGTTTGATAATATAAATACGTTCAATATTACATAACTATTGTCATTATCACGCATTATCACTAATTAAATCGTCTATAAGGTTATTATAGATTTTTTTTATTATTCTCATTCTGTCAGAATGTTTATTGAGTCGTATTCTGTAAGAATGAAAATGAGTGAAAAACGATGCGTTAGAACAAAAACGAATAAGAATCTTCAAAATGCATGAAAATGACAATAGTTTTGCTAGGTTGAATGTATTCACATTACTAAACAGCCTAGTCTCTTAGTAATTATCATAAAATAATACTGTCCACACGTCTGCACAATAGTTGTCCATCCACATTATAACATAGCCATATATATTATATATATATATATATATATATATATATATATATAATATATATATATATATATATATATATATAATATATATATATATACGCGCTTTTGCTTCGCTCAAAATCTACTTACTTCATTTTCATTTGAATTTTCTTATTTAATATCCAAATCCTTATAAATCATTTTTATATGATTATTCTCATAAAATATTTAAACTCTTTCCATTATAAAACACTTCATGCATTATAACTTCCATTTATTAGTTTTTAAGAGAATTTCTAGTTTTGTATTTTTCTAAACCATATTACTATTGTCTTTGACTTCAAATGGATCATCAATAATGGGTATTATCTATCAGCTCATGATGGCTATCTTGTTCTCTTAAATCACGTGTTTCATCCTAACATGAGTTACTTTTAATGCAACTAAAATGATTTCTTAATTCTTTCTAAGTATATTTATAGAGTGATTCTTATATTGTCTTTATGTTTTATATCCATTGTAAGTTATGAAAACTTGTTCACACATCTTCTCCCATTAAGTTAAATTATGTTTTTTTTCCTCTATTCCAAGGTATAAATAACTATTAGGCATATGAATACCTAATGTTATATGAGATCCTTACCTAATTACAAGGAATATGTTCTAAAATCACTAAAGAGTACAAATTTGAGTACCTTTATATGTACCATAAATCCTTTAGATTCATGGAAAGGTTAAATAGGTTCACAAATTTTTTATTATTCAAAAATTAATTAATAATGGTAT